TTTTTTTTTTTTTTTGGGTTTTGATTGGGTTTTTCTTTGCCTTACCTTGAACACCCACGCGAGGCCGTGGGAGATGCGAATGGGTTTTTTTTTTTTTAGGGGACAGAACAACCCTTTCCCCGAGAGAAAGAGAGAGAGAGAGAGAGAGACCTTGCATTTCAACAGTTGGGTTTTGTGTTGATTAAGTTAATCTGTGCGTTCTGTTTTGCCATTGCTACTTCGTGTGAGTCTGTATATATTGTAGAAAACGTTATGGTGGAAATATTAATACACTATCTCTAGTGTTTCTGAAATTGAATCAGTACAGTACCTGTGCCTGCATGGTTACACCCCATGCGTCGCCCTATATTCAGGGTTCAAGCTTTCCCTTGCTTGTTTAAGGGGTTTATGTATAAAGATATTTTATGCCTTTTATTACAAGTCCTGTACTCATGACTTTTGCCATGGCATTTTGTTCTACTTATACTGTAAATTATGCATTATAAAGAGTTTCATTTAAAAAAAAAAATTACTTGGTACAATAATTATTGTAATTAAGAGATGTAGCCTTTATTAAAATTTTATATTTTTCAAATTAATATTGTCTTGACTTYTTTTTCACCCTTAATGCCTTAAAAGGGTTTTTTTTTTCTCAAGTGTGGTGTTGGATGGAAAGAGCTGGTGAGCTTCCCTGCCTTGGCAGGGGTTGTTCCTGCTGGGAAGGAGGCAAGGCCGAGGCTGGGGGTGCTCTTCAGTGAAGATTAAATAATTTACAGCTCCTTCAGGTGCCTCACCTGTGAATTTAGCCTGGTCTGGCTCCCAGACTGCGCTGCTGAGCTCACCTGATGAGCCAAGGTTGGAACTCCTCGAGCACATCCCATGGGGTCGGTGTTGGGTTTTGGGGTCACAGCCTTCCCCACATGGGACTGAGCTGGGACTGCCCACCTGCATCCCACGCCAGAGTGAACCCAGCTCTAAAATCCTGACCAAATCCAGATCTGAATTCCTGGCCAAACCCAGCTCTGTGAAATTCTGACCAAATCCAGCTCTGTGAAATCCTGACCAAACCCAGTCTAAAATCCTGAACAAACCCGGCTCTATAAAGCCCTGACCAAACCTCAGCTCTGTGAAATCATGACCAAACCCTGCTCTAAATTCGTGACCAAACCCCATCTCCGTAAAATTCTGACCAAACCCAGCTCTGAATTCCTGACCAAACCCCATCTCTGTAAAATTCTGACCAAACCCAGCTCTGTGAAACCATGACCAAACCCTGCTCTGAATTCCCGACCAAACCCCATCTCTGTAAAATTCTGACCAAACCCAGTTCTGAATTTCTGACCAAACCCAGTTCTGAATTCCTGACGAAACCCAGCTCTGAATTTCTGACCAAACCCAACTCTATAAAGTCCTGACCAAACCCATATCTGTAAAAGCCTGACCAAACCCATATCTGTAAAAGCCTGACCAAGCCCAGCTCTGTAAAGCCCTGACCAACCCCAGCTGTGTAAAATTCAGACCAAGCCCAGCTCTGTGAAGCCCTGGCTCTGGTGGCCACGTTGGGCAGGATGAACCGAGCTGAGATCTGCTGGAGCTGCTGAGCAGCACAAGCACAGGGAGCTCCTCCCCATGTGCCATCCCTCTCGCCCGTATTTATGGCACAAAACCCATTTTTTGATGGCTGAAGGAGCTGAATTGGTTCCTCAGGGAAGCTGCCCATCCTGGGATGGATTTCTCTCCCAGCTGTGGCCCAGACCTTCCCTGGGAAACGCCGGGAAAGCAATTGTGGAGCTGCTTTTGGTCTGTCCTGTTGGTAACCAGAGCCAGCCCTTTGCTTCTGCACTGACTAGGGCTTTTTTATTTTTTCCTTTCCCCTCTCCCCACCCTATTTTTTTTTCTATGAGGTTTTAAATTATCTGGGTTATTTTGTGTGTTTGAGAAGACTTCATTTAAAACATCAGTAAAACTTGTATCAAAGGGCTCAACTTCACACTGAGTACACAGAGCTGGGGACTGAATCCTGCAGTTCAAGGGAGCTGCAGGCAGTTTTACACATTTAAATGGATGGTGCCTTGTTTTAAAAAAACCATCTGAAGTTCATGGGGTTCATCTTAATTGATAAGCTGGACATAACGGATGGGTGTAGGGAGACTTCAACAACATAAGGGAAGAAAGATTTTCTTTTTCCCCCCTCTCTCTCTCTTTTTTTAGTTCTACCATCAAAGGTTGGGAACTTAGCACTACATCGTAGTATTATTTTTCTTCTGCTATTAAAATGAATCACACTGTGCCTAATTCTTCTTGGGAAGATGAATGCGTTTGAGGCAGCTTGAAGCCATTCAGCGCCTCACAAGCCTTTGCATCTTTCTATCAATGTTCCAAAATACTCACCTCTGTTTTTTTGGATGTCTGCAGAAACAATATATAAAATGGCTTCAAATACATGGCAGGCTGTTTAGTGGAGATGAAAGGGTATTTGAATAGTCTTTTTAAAATGAATGAAAAGTGAATACTCTCTTCTGTTTCAATTATAAGTGGGACATGGAGCTCGTTAGACACCACCTTAATATGTGACACTCTGAAAAATGTTCACCTACCTTCAGCAGTTCAGAAACATTTTGTTTTTTAGCTTGTCTCGGGATAAAGATCGTGATTACAGGTCTGGCATGTTCCCTGCTAAATGGAGAGGCAGCGTGGGAAAGTTCTGCTCTTACAGCTTGAAAGTAACATCCAACCAAATTTTTTACTTTTTTTTTTTACTCAGTACAGAAGATTGAGAGGGAGCAAGAACCTCTTTTTGACCCAAGTGTTTTTTTTTTTTAAAAAAAGTTTAGCTGAAGTTGATCAGGTCTAACAAAAACTATGTAAATTCGTGCAGAAAGRAAGTGCCCACAGAGCTCTTTGGGGTGTTAAAATGTTCTGTGTTAGATCTGTCCAGAGCAGGGGACCAAAACGTTCAGTTTGGGTTCTTTTACAGAGGATGGAGCCCAAAATATCCCTGTTTGGGTCCTGTTCCAGAGAAAGGAACACAATATCCCTGTCTGGGTCTTTTTCCAGAGGAGGGATCCAAAATACTCTGGTATGAATCTTTTTCCAGAGGAAGGACCCAAGATGTCCTGGTTTGGGTCCTTCCAGAGGAAAGAACCATGATGTTCCTGTCCGGGAGGAGGGACCCAAAATGTCCCAAATTTGCATCCTTTTCCAGAGGTAGGACCCAAAATGTCCCGATTTGGGTCTTTCCAAAGAAGAAGCCTCAAAACCAAGAGCTCTGCTCTGCAGAAGCAAACTCAAGCAAGGCTGCAGCGAGCAGAGCGATCCCCAACCACTCCACACGCTCAAATCACGCTGATTCTTGACGCTTTGCACATTTTTTTGTCTTCAAAGCAACCTGGAAATGCTCCTGAAGCCCCAGAGCACCCACAGAATGAGTGTCCGTGGTGGATGAGTGGTGGCCAGAGGAGCTTCAAAGGCTCCCCATCATAATCCAACAAAAACACCAATTCTGCCCCATCCCAACGTGCTGATGGACCTTCACCAGTCCTTGGGAGCGGTTGGTGACAGCACATACAGTGACATATTTTTGTTCTTTCTCTATCCTGAATGTTTGGATCAAAGGGTGAAAAACATCCAAAAGCTGCCCCCGAGATCATGAGCTTAGAAATAAAATAAATAAATTAATTAAAAATWAATRCATARATAAATAAATTTAATTATTATTATTTAATTTATTAAATAAATAAAAAATATGATTGTCCAAAAATAATGTTTATTAAATAAATAAAAAATAAAATCCCTTCTCCCCTCGTGAGCACAGGGAATGTTACTCGGGAAGGCACCAGTACTGGGAGGATGCTTTGCATTGGTGAATTCCCACAAAAAACCCCTCCTTTTCCCAGGTGCTGGGCTCAGGAGCATGCCCAGCTCCCCCATCCCTTCTCAGGTGTCCCTGAGGTTGTTTTCTCCCCCCACTCTGGGATTTTATTCCCTCCAAACCCCTGAGCCAGCCAGGTTGGAGCATCTGCAGKTTCCCACTCTGCCTGCTCAGACTGGCAGCTCTGTTCCCTTCCTCCTTCACCTTCCATTAACCTCGTGTTCCTCAAACACCTTCATCCAACTGCTCCATTCCGGGAGCACCCTCAGATTAATTAAAAAGGATAAAAAAAGAGAAAGGAGAGCACCGTCTTTAAATGAGGTTCCTAYCCCATTGCCTCCAAATGCTCTCTCTTAATCACAGAGCCCAGAAAACACCCACACAGTGGAGGCTGGAGAATTATTTCAGGCAAATCATCTTCCTTCCTCTTCTGAAAAAAGATCAGGCCAGTTCTGGATGGGGAGAGCAGCTCTGGTTTGGGTCCATCCCCAATTCCTGCCTGCAGCCTCCCCACACATCCCTGCACTCTCACTCCTTTCCCCTCACCCTCATTAGCGTGTTCCTAATCATCATGAAGGGTCCCAGGATGAATTTTTCCTACCATTTAAACCATGGCCTGCCATATGTTTTAGCCTCTCTTTTAAATTAAATGAGTGTTGTGGCGCATTTAATCTTCAGGGAGCGCTGAACTCGCAGAGTGAGCGAGGAGGTTAATTTTGGACATCAGATCTAGGTGATAGCATAATTTCAGACAATTTTGGCTGACCTCCCTGGGCAATGCCCTTCATCTCTTTCATGAGAAGATCTATTTTTAGGGAAGAAAGCCCATTAAGCCTTGCCCTCCTTAATTCAGCTCTTCACATGATAAGATTTGACAGGTAGATCTCCTTTTTTTTCTTATTATTATCATTACTTTTTTTTTAACAAAATAAAACAGAAAGACCCTCTGGGAATTCTGGCTTTCAACATTTGTCTGGGGCCCTGCAGGAGTCTGGAGCATCTCTGAACCCTACAGCTCGTCCTGCTTTGAAACCAGCTCCTCGTCATTGCTCATGCACGGCGTCCTCCTCATCTGCAGTCGTGGCACTCCCGGCTCTCCTCTCCCTCTCCCACTGCCCTGGCAGCT